TGTAATTCTGAGGTAATCGGAAAGAATTCGTTCTAGAATGTTCTCACTCCCCCTATGGTAGACCTCCAAATTTTATCACCAAACGGGCGATTTCGCACCAAATATTGCAACCCTGCCTTTCCTTGACATTTTCTGGCAACCCTAAACCCGCTTTGCGGAGAGCCTATCTTACTAAATCAGTCTTTTATACGAAAACTATAAATTTATGAATAAGGATTTCACTATACCATTTGTGCAATATAAAGACTAAATTCGAAAATATCTTAAATAACATCATTCAAATTTTTACGGTCCTCTAAATCGGCATGTTTTCCCTCGCGATGTAAAGTAATTTAAATCGCATAATTTTCAGCTTTTCATGGCTACTTTTACGTATCACAGAAAAACGGATTTTCGATAAAATGATTTTAATTGGATAGGAAATTATATGCTTATTGGAAATTTCTCTACCAAGGGAACACCTAAAATTTGCATTTTTAAAATTTTTGCTAAATGATTTCAATCCGAAAAAATCGTCTCAATCTGGATACCTTCAATTTTTAATTCATTTCTAAAATCCTAAACTCTGATCTTCGATGTAAGAGCCCTGTTGTGGTTTGAGTTAATAGGCACCAGTAATAACGCCATTGTATGGCAACAATTCCATCGCTATGCAGTCTGAATCACCTTCGTAGGTGCAATTCCTTAGTAATTTAATTTGTTTATTGCCTCTTATTTTTCATCTTAAACTACAGCATACAACACAGTCTCCTTTCTACTTCACTGAGTACAGAATTCAGCCACGCATTGGTGCATTGCGACAGAAAAAATGTCCAAACTTTTACATACTGGTCATGGTCACGCAGCGACAGTTCATGACTAAGTCCAAAGCCAAATCTGCCCAGCATCGCCAGTGTGACAGAAAAAAAAAAAAAAAAAAAAAAAAAAAAGAAAGAAAGAAAAAAATGTGCTTGAATGATCACATGCAAGGCGTGTTGCCAGTTCAGAAGAGATATCCGAACGATTTGCTACGGTATTTCGTGATCCTCTTGGATCGCTCGGTTGAGTTATTACAGATATGCCATTATTTATGACTTAAAGTGCTTGAAACGATAACTGTCAGTTTTATGGGTCACAATATTCTCTCCAGACACCTGGCATAAGGATCATCCTGTTCGATTCTAAGGCATGTATGAAAATTCTAAAGCTCCACAAAATGAAATAAATCTTTCTTTTAGTTCTTTTTTTCCTTCTACTTTAAACAGTATGCATTCAGATTATACAACTATGCAGTGTTGAGTTTCTACGGGTTCGTGGATTTGGAGTGACTGGCAACAACAACACTTTATGAAGTATCAAACACAATTTACTTGCCAGTATTACTCAGGAGAGATCCAAAAACACGTTTACAGTTGTCGTAAAACTACGACAAGCACGCTGAAACAATAGGGCAACATAGCTTTCTAGCTATCAGACTATAACTGTGAAGACAGCTTCACGGCAAAGCACTAAATTACAGCTCCCGACTCAGTCAATCGCTCTCGGAGCTCAAAACACTCGAGATAAACTCGAAGATGCACTGACGATACACTCAACGATGCATTTCACGATAAACTCACGATGCACGGTTACTCCGCGTGCAAACAGGGTGTATATAGCTTTTGACCTGTCTTCGAGAACATTCTGGTGTAAATCGGAAAGAATTCGTTCTAGAATGTTCCCGCTCTGCCTATGGTATACCGCCAAATTTTATCACCAAATGGGCGATTTCGCACCAAATATTGCAACCCTGCCTTTCCTTGCCCTTTTCTGGCCACCCTAAACCCGCTTTGCGGAGAAGCTATCTTATCGCGGCTGGGCATTTCGCAACAAAATATACGCCGAAAATTGGAAAACTATTGAGCAATCTAGATGAATGACTCAGCATCTTAGGGAAAAGCCAAAGTACTTATTTCCTATTCATAAAGCAAATATCTCTATGCAAGAATCATGAAAGCAGGAATAACGTAGCAATACCTGTCAGATGAAGAATTACAAATGAACGAAACATATTTTGATTTTACTTAACTTAGAATGATATATTTTCCGTATTACGTCTAACTTCTGTAAAATGTATACTACAATACTACTGTAAAAGTAACCAGTATAATCTAATAATAATACTTTCAGCTCATGAAATAGCTGAAAAAATAAAACGCGTTTTCTATCGTTTTTAGCAGTTTAGTTAATATTTCGGAAAACGTGTTATTTTTTTCACTTCATAAGTTTTGTTCTATGTCATAATATAATACAAATAAAACAGAAACTGTTGCCATTTCACTGGCGGAAAATATATACCGTAAGCCTCGTGCGCAAGCAGGTGAGAAAATTTAAACAGCTCGTTTCAAAGGTATGTTATGTATCTTGAATTTCTGGAGATTAATTCTTAAATTTTTAGACCATTATCGAAGCTGTGTAGCTTAAACCCGTTTCTGATGCTGAATTGAAATCTTAGAACAAAACTCAAATTGCAGTTTGGAGGGGAGGAGAGCATATAATTATTTCAATATGTTCTCAACAAATTTCCTGCGGAATATATACCTTTTCCCCAGCATACCTGCGAAAATGTACCTTTCCTCTTTGCTTTCATGCAATTTCCTATTTTTAAATAATATATGCCCATTTTCGAAGAGATCTGTATGGGAGAGGATGGTTCTATCCACTGTGCAGTTCGTTTTTCTGTTTCTGATTCTTATTGTAGATACCAGGTCTCGTCTTCCGCTATAATACACTTCAAAAAATCGTCTTTCTGTTTCGCAGTAGTCAGCTAATCTTCACGGCAAGCGTTTCTGTCTTTTTCGTTTGCTGTTTTGTTAAAATCCGAGGCACAAATCGAGCATAAATTTTCCTTATTTTCTTATTTTCAATTAAAATTAACCTACAGCTTGAGTTGTAGCACGTCTATCAGCTTTTACCAAAGAACGAATTTTCTTTCCATTTTCCTCAATCCTTGAAGTTGGTGTATTGGTGTGTATTTAATTATGGCAAAGCACACTAGGGCTATCTGTCTAAGGGGAGGGATGCCTTTCGTGGAGGACTTTCTAAGGGAAACTAGATCGTATACACGTTACACATGGGGAAAACCACGAAAACGCCCATGCAGCCAGCCCGTTCGCGGGATTCGAACCTCGGACCGAACTACCAGTGTTCAGCGACTTTACCGCTCGGCCACTGGTGGGCTCCCTTGAAGTTGAAGAGCGCCGTACCTTTGGTTCATCTTCAATGCTTTTGCCCTCACATTTAAGGTAGTTGCACCACTCATAGACTTGTGTCTTTGACAACAATGCATCACCATATACTGTTCGAATCACCTGTTCTGATAAGAAGAAATATTTTAAACCCTTATGAATATTATCGGATAAGAAATCATTGTCTACTGCAACTGCTTTTAAATAGTCGAGTTTCTGATTGAAGATGAGATACAGGAGAAAACTTGATGTGAAAGGTGAAAGATTAAAAAAAGTTTTTTTTAGTCAGCAGAACTGTAGGATTTGAAAAATGAAAGAGAAGTAGAACATTTTGGGAATTATATGATGCACAGCACTCCCCAAATTTGATTCACAGCCCATGACTTCAACATCCAGGAACAAAAGTCAATTAAATGCCCTTGAGTTAAAAAATGCACTGAATAGCAAGCTATAATGAATTCACGACTAAATGAATTTGGTCAAAATCACCTTCATTATTATTACACAGAGCAAATGTTTCATCAACTTAACAGATCGAAACTATGAAATTTAATGTTTTAGATAATTTGGATTCATAATAATGCATACAAATCTTAGCAAAAGTAGTATTCAGAGAACTAACCCATCAATTTGGGGCCATGATTATTTTCGTGTACAATGATTGTTTGCTTAAAATAAAACTAAGCAATTTTAATATAAAAAAAAGTAAATTACCAAAGTCTTTTTCCTAGATATTTCAACGCGCCTTCCACTGCAGCATTAATGAATAATTGTTTTACATAGCATAAACCTAATAGAGTCATTACTTTATCTGGGCCTATCGAAAACGCGCCAAGTGTGCTACCGTTACACCGTGAAGGTACGCTGGAAGGGGGAGAAAATACCTTATATACTCCCCCTTTTAAAGGGGGATTGGGGATTAGGGGACCTAACTGTCAAATCCTGGTGGTGATGAATCATTATCCACCATCTTTTAGTTCGCGCACCACTGTGGCGTCATTAGGTTTTTTTGAAGAGATATAAAAAATTAACAAAGAATGCGCCAAGTTTGCTACCGTTACACCCCGAAGACGCGATGGAAGCAGATAGAAAATACCTTACAAACTAATGTAAGATTCCCCCTGAGTTCTTTCGCACCCAGATATTACATATCTTACCAAATAGGTAAATATTAATTTAATATTTTCTGTTACTAGAGATAGCAACATTTATATTATGAAAATTACTTGAGTTTGGCAATAATTTCATGATGGTTTCATGAAAGAATGGAAAAACCTATTTCGTTCGGGGCACAAAAATATATTTTTCTGATATTGTAGCTTGTCCAAATTTAACACTTTTTTACTTAAATTAGCAATAAAATAAAAGAGATTTTCCATTCAACTGTCTAACCGAATAAACCACAAGAAATGTTCTTTTATGTTCTTCATTTTATACTCTAATTTCAAAATATTAAAAGATGTTTAATAAATATCCAAATGGAACTAATGGTACGTTTCTTTCCAGCCGTAAATCTATTTACCACTCTATAAATACACTGTTACAGAACACAATTATTGAATGACTAACAGTTAAAATCTGAGTTTTATTTTTATGTATGTAATGTCTAAATAGTTTGCAATTATATGTATTAAAAACTATTCGAGTGGCGTTTATATTTGCAGAGAGAATGTATTATGTGTAGCGGCATTATTTTAATTTACCATCATTAAGTTTAAATCAGAAAGAATTTTGCAAGTTTTCAAGTTTTGCAAGTTAACTAACTACGTTGTTTTCTTTTTTTTTTCTTTGCAGTGGTGGAATATTCAACTCTAGATCTCTGAGCCAGCTTCTTGGTCTGCGTAAGAGGCGGTGAGTTCACTAGCACCAATATCACCTGCCACAGTATAACCCCACATCATACTACCAAGGGCTGGGCCCAGTAATTATCATCCATCACTCTCTACATAACGCTTCCTTTTATTTCATATTCGGATACATTATTTTAATCAGATATTTTATTCGATACAATTGCTGTATTTATTGTCAATAGAATTCTTCTTTTGTAGTCTAGTCTGAAGATGTAAATGCATTTTATGAAATAAACAAGATTTTGTCTTCCGTTTTGATGATTGCTTGGTTTATGACTTATTGTATAAACGTTGAGAGAAAAAGCAATACAGCGATAATTAAGAATTATTGAAATATTTCGTTTGGTTTTATTGTGATATAATTTCAAAAGGATTTCAAATTCCTACACCAAAGATGACAATAAATTTGTCTTGATTAATTTACGATTCTTATTAGATAGAATAATGAAAGAATCGTGGATTTTATTGGTTTTTACTACTTATTAAAAACTAAAGACAGGCGGTGAAAATAGGCAGGATTCACATGATCACCCAGGATAAAATAATTATAAAATACTATTTATTATTTTGAACTGCTTAAAGAAATTAGGATTTCTTTTAATGAATTGAAATTTTTAAGGAAAACAACTAGCTATTTTTATATCTGCCTTACAAATACCGAACGAACCGCAAAGGATGAGAGGTATATGGAATTCTGAAACGACAAAATAAAGCTAACAGAAAATACTAACAGATCATAAGTGTTAAACCTGATCTCAATTCGGATTTCTGGAATACTACAAACAGCCGTAAAGTATGACTAACCTACTGAGCTTGCAAATTTGTGGAGTACTACAAACATCCGTAATGTATATTTAACCTATTTAGCTTGCAAATATATTTTGACCATCAGAGAGCGTACATAAAGCGTAATGTACCACTGGCTGCTTGCAAAAGATTAACTACCTAATTCTTACTATTATTTAATCGTCTGTTTAGAATTATTACGTTTTGTAAACGTAATAGCCAACAAAAGTTTACTGTTGCATTGGTTAAGTATAAAATAGTTCTGAAAGAGGATTAAACTTGAATATGGTGAATTCTGATTATAAATGGTAAGTCGAAAGAGCAGATCAAAATAAATGATTCCTGAATTTAATAATAAATTAAGTTTAGCTGCACATTCTAAAATCACTCCACAGAACGAATAAATTTATGTAGTTGTCTATTATTCACGATCAACTGTTATTTTATACACTTAAAAATTATTAAGATAGTATTTTTATTGCTCTGTGTTTTTCTTGTATAACTTAAAAGGTATTTACTATATATATTATTTGTACATATATGCAACCATCAAATCCATTCATTACTTTCTAGCAATAATAGGTTTGCCTGAAAAGAACAATATGAAAAAAAAACCGCGGTATGATCTCTCTTTTAGTTTAAAAAGCAGCTGGTAATAGTTAATGCGTAGAATTACTAACGGAACTGTGAGGATGTTATAGAACAAATAAAACAAACAAAATATTTTACACTCACATAATATTTTATTTTATTTTTTTATTTATTACATTTATTCATTCAAAATTACCCTATATAAAGTTGGTCGATGATAAGAGAAATAAGATATATAATGCTGCATTCTACGGGTTCGTGGATTTGGGAAAAACTGATGATAACACTTGATGAAGAATCGAAACACAATTTATTCGCCAGTATTACACAGGACAGTTTCAAAGACACATTTACAGTCGTTGACAAACTACGACAAATACGCGAAGACAGCTTTACAGCAAATTGCTAAAGTACAGCTCCTGACTCGCTTCTGTCGCTGTCAATCTAATCTTTGAACTCATCATACTACTAGAGTAATCAAGATAGTACTTCTCTGCGTACAGGTAGGGTATATATATATCTTTAATCTACTTTCGAAACATTCCCGAGAAAAACCGCTAAGAATTCGTTCTAGGTTGTTCTCTCGCCGTCTATGGCATATCGCCAAATGTGTCAACCATACCTTTCCCTGCCACTTTCTGGCAACCCTAACTTTCTGGTCTTGCGGGGAAGCTATCTTACCGCAACTGGGTATTTCGCAACAATAATTTAAGCTGGCTGCAGTTGGATTCTTAATAAATGTTAAATCTATAAAGTAATTTTAAAGTGTACTTGAATAGTTACTTAACACCATATAGAGATTAAAATAATGTTTCATAAAATCAAATGCCTTTTCATTTCGTTTGACTTGTTCATTGAAATCCCCCATCATAATAACAGAAACCCATCTGTAGCTACAATAAACTCTCCATCGATCAATTAGTAATAATAATTCAAGTAGCCTCAGAAAACTTCACGGGCACTGTCTACCAGACGATCTTGCCAATCATTCTCGGTCGCATAGAGTTTTGACAAAATTTCGGTATTTTTGACTCGTTCCTATGCGTATCACTTTGTGCATTTTTTTCTTGTGTTTGCTAATGTGCTCTTTCATCTATATAATGATGTATTTAGATTGATTTATAACATTTGTAGTTTCGAAAATATGAGCATTCACGCACAACTCAAATAAAGTCTTAATTTTTGCTTTTCTGTCAGATTATTATAGAGGAATGTAATCCTACATTAAAAATTAATCTTAGTAAGAAAGTATTTGTGGACTAGTATTATCTTTTCCATAGTCTGAAATGCATGTTCTCTTTGGCAGTATTTTCCAGCAACATTTGGTTTCGTTCACCTTAAAATCTGATGTATCTGGCATTATCCAGCTTTAGCGAAATTCAGTTTCGAAAAATTCTTCATCAGCAATGCTGTCGTTTTACTCTTTAAAGTTAATTTATAAGAACTTGTAATCGATGATATGAACCATATCTTTGACTTAAAAATACGATTAGCAGCTATTTTACCATGAAGTAGTATTAGTCTTATCAGAAACAATATTGTTGTTGAGTATCAAAGCGTAACGTTATAAATTTCTCTACTTACGTGTTTATTTTTCTACATTTTTATTGATAAATAATCTTTGATTGTAAAAGATTGGCTGCTTTAAGTTATCTATAACTTTCTGTTTGCCCTTAAGAACTCTTTCATTGATATTTTATTCATCTGTAGCAACTCTCTTTACGTATAATATTATATTTATTGTTGCGAAGTTTAGTTTTTCTAGATTGGCAACAAGAAAAAACATAAATAAAATAATTTGCTTTGATGTTGTAACCCTAAAGTCTTCTTTTAAATATTGTGAATTAAAATATGCTTAATCCATTCTGGAATTATTTAAATTATTAAATTATCTCATGACTGAGGAATAGCGTCTACAATACATCCTTTATGCGTCTTTGACAGCAGCTTTTACGGTGCTTTTCATTTTTATAACGGAGATTTTACAAAATATTTAAAACGTTCTCACTAAAAGTTATGCAACGTTGAATGTTTGTAAGGCAAACTTTACTATATAACGAAATAAATTTGGTCTGCATTATTTCAAATTACCATGAAAGATATGCATTGCTTTTAGAGAACAAAGAATTTGATACGTTATTTGAGCTATATAACTGATATTAAATTAACTAAAAAAGTAAACAAAATTTTAAATGTTTTTGAGTAATGTTGCCAAAACAAAAATTACGAAATGCTATAAAATAGTTATAAAAGAAGAAATTTGAATGTATTTTAATTCTATTTGCTTTATGTTTCTTTTAAATTACCTTTAAAATTTCAGTAACATTCTACAGAAATTACCAATTGCAGTACGAAGCTCTGTATTTCGTAGTAATTTGTAATCGCGCAAAAATCTAATTTTATTTTTCAGAACAATTTGATAATATCAATATCTTTTATTGACAAACATGAAGAAGTAATAGTTACGATTACTTGGTTATGTCATTCATTCCGTTTTATGTACGACCATTTACTGACCTATAATTTCCTTCATTCAAGGTGAACTTCTTTCGTGCATGTAGGCTAGAAAAAGATTGCATAAGAAACATTTTATTTTTTAAAAGCAACGCGGTTAACACGATTAAACCACAACTTGAAAAACATACTCGAAATTTGTTACTTGCACTGATGAAACGTATCCCAAATAAGAAAATAAGAACTTGCAGAACAAACTGAAATAGAATTCATGAAAACATTTTAATAAACGTTTCAGACTCATCAAGCCACAAGATTTTCATAGAAACTGTAATACAAATTAAAGGAAAAGATTACGAAAGCAAATTCTTTTTCGTTATTTTATTTATTTGTTCATTTTAAAGCTCAATTTTAATTCACTAATTTTTAAATGTTTCGCTGTAAAAATTAAGTAGAAGAGCTGTTCTCACTTCACGTGTATAAGAGCCAGTTTCCCTTAGAAAGTCCTCCACGAAGGCATCCCTCTCTTAGGCAGATAGCCCTCGTGTGCTTTGCCATAATTAAATACACACACCGCCGTTCTCACAGATTCTTTCTTCTTTCTTATTACCGCTGAGATGAAGAAATAAAACCAATTAGTTGAAAGTTTTTAAACTTCAGTCAATTGTACCAAACATAACTACATAAACCTAAATAGTGTATTAAAGAAAAAGACCATTTTTAGGCCTTGGATTGGGAATTATTGTTCTTAACTGTACAATACTTTTATCTCCCAAGGAAATAAAAAAATCAAAAGAGAAAAAGCAATTGAAAATATCTAAATCTCACTCTATATTTCAAAACTACCGTAATGACAAGTACATATATCCGATTATTCATTAGTATTGTTGTGTGTGTACGGTTTCGTAATATATTGAATGCACAGAGGTCTCATGATAAGTTTATAGAGACATTAGGTATTTTGGAAGCAGGAGTACTGAAAAATGAGCAACGCCTTCGTCAGCAATCGAACCACGGACCTCTGAAATACGCGCCCAGCGTGCAGACCACTACACTACGAAGGCACGCTAAGAAGGCGGGAGAAATACCTTATATACTCCACCGTTTAAAGGGTGACTGGGGTTTTAGGGGACCCAATCGCGAAAACCTGGGTGTGGAGAAGCATCATCCGCCACTCTTTTAGTTCGGACGCCACTGTAGAGTCTTTTGGGGATACTTGTTCGTTGGCCATCGGATTAGCGTGGTAATTCGGGCGCCAGTGTAGAGTTCAGTAGATTAACTTTTGTGTGTAAAGTGGAATAGTAGTAACTGCAGAAGAGAAGGGTTAAAAGTACCCTTTATTAAAATTTACAATGCGTCAACTCGACTCTAACAAACTATGCCTCTGCTTGGGTGGTAACTAAAAACAGATAACGAAACTAAAAGTTTAAAG